TAGTAGTGCAGTGCGGTCTTACTTACATACATATACTTATATATGTATGTATAAACTTACATGTGTACAAATACTTACGACAATTCATTGTTTGTGCTAAAGTGCTTTAACAGAAAGTGTTTATATACATTCTCAAGAGTGGACATAAATCGTTTAACGGAAGTCAAATTCCAAAGCATTAATATACATATACATACATACAAACACATGCTCTTTAAAAGTTTGAGCATCAAAACAGCTTAAATGCCATTCTGCACTTTAAAATAGCTTCGTTTTTCGCAAGGAAACTAGGAGGTAAGGACTTTCCTAGTTTACATAATGCTTTCGCAGATTTTTATCATTGATATCATTAAGGTTTACGCAACAGAACTCTCTTTAAACGGCATGGCTCTTATATGGAAAATCCGTACTGAGATGCAAGTTTCTTGTTCAGGCTTTACGACAAGATAGTCCAGAGAAAATCCAAATATGGTATAGGTAATGCTCGTATAAATACTTTTTTGCAATATTATATTAACTTTTTTTTGCTGTTTTTTTTTTCAAAATACGCGACTACCAACACCAAGCGCCTAAATGCATGCTATGTACTGCTGCATGTGCAAAAATTTCCTTTGTGACATTTTTGTATAGAAAATGATAGAAAAATTTCATGATTTTCGATTCGTACGAAAACAAGCATATATGCTTCATAATAAAACTTTCTTAACTTACATTTTGATGGTCAAAGTATGCTCGGCCTAATCTGATGCCTTCTCCGGACAATAGTTCCAGAGTTTGTTTGCAGACTCTGCGTTGCTTACAACCATGCAGAGGTGGTAATTATTGGCCGCAGTGCCAACCCACTACATTTTGATTCAAAAAAAAAAAGTTTTTCTTTTATAATCACATGCAAACATTCTGGTCTTCCCTCTCACTAATGCCGATTTTGTTTCTACCGAAAAATGCAACCATCTCTTAAGGCGATGCGGAGGCAACATTTTTTGTAGAAACGAAATCGCCATAAGTTATTCAGTTAAGGTGTCCTTACACGATATGTATTTGCATCTGTAAATCTGACTTTTTCGATACATATATAATTGCGAATGTCTGTTAAATTCACACTCTTTATTTAGCTAATTAAAAATACGTTCTTTGAAAACGAAATAAACGAAACTCCGATGATTTTACCTCTGTGTCAAATGAAAATAGAAACATTTCTATTTCGATGGCTGAGTGGAAGATCGACATATCTCGGCTGCCAGTTCGAAAACGTTCTATCTCAAAAAACTTTTCAAGAACGCCCTATTTCAGAATTTTATTGAAAAACACCTTATCTCAAAATTCGGTTCAAAAACGCCCTATCGCACTTCAAAATGTATTGAAAATATGCTGATATAGGGCGTTTTTGAATCGGCAGCTGAGATAGGGCGTTTTTGAAACGAATTTTAAAATAGGACGTTCTTGAAAAGTTTTTAGAGATAGAATGTTTTCGAACTGGCTGCCGAGATAGGTCGATCTTCCACTCACCCATCGATTTCGTATGTACGTGCAACTGCTTTGTACAGAAACAAATCTAATTTGCCTATACACGATATGTTGGCATTACCATATGTAAAAAGTGGCACGTACACATGCAAATACATATCGTGTAAGAACAACTTCAGCAGTTTAGTGAAGCAAAGTCCTCTGGTCTGGATCTTGTACACGATAGAGCGCTTAAAAGACATGGCAGAAAAAAAAATTAGCGTGCTCACAAAAAAATGTTGACATAACTCTATACCGCGCACAGTGGTCTAAAATCCAAATCTAGGTGGATAAAACTATTTCTGACACCACTTTGTTTATATATGTTTTTGAAGTGTTTTAATAAAACACGGTATGCAAAGGTCGCCTATTAGGAATCTGAAGTTCAAGTTTCAAATATTTCAAATGGCGGATCCAATATGGCGAGCACAAAAATTAAGAAACCAGTCAACTTTGTCAAAACAGGGGGTTTTTGTGTTCTTAGAATCGCCAAATATGAATCCGGAATCTCAATTTCGAATTTTGGATTTCGATTTGCCCAGACAGACTTTTAAAAGAAAGTGAGTATAGTAGATTATACATGTATATATAGATATGGACATTAGGGTGGGTTATAAACCCATTTATTTTTATTTTTATTGTTAATCGCAAAATATGGTACATTGTGCTCTAATCTTGTGTGTGATCTTAGACTAGCCAAAGTTTACCAAAGTTCAATGGTTCAAAAAAATTTTCTTAGCTTACTTCGATCACAAATTTAATTATCTACAAAAGAGGTCCGTATACAAAATCAGGCAGAGCTAACAGCTAAGAAAAGTTAAGTTAGATAACTTTAAAATTTTGTACATAATATTTACAGGGCGATAATCGCATTTTTTTTGTTGTTAGAAATGCGATATTTCTGTCCCTGAACGAAATATGTATGGGTAAAAATAATTATAAATTAATAATTATATACGAAATTCGATTCATCACAAAAAGGGACCTTATGAATAAAGCTAAGCAATTGCCTTTTCTTAAAATTTCAGAACTTTTTCTCGAACTTTTGAAAGAAATTTAAGTAAAAGGTCTGAAACTTTAAGAAAAAGCAATTGCTAAGTTTTTGCTCATAAGGCCCAATATCCTTTTTTATGAAAAGAAAACACTCTCTCTCTCTCTCTCACTGCTCTGTTTTGTAATATACAGTATATATGTAATTTCAGCTTTTATAATTTTTAAATTTTAATACTTCAAAAAATTGTAAAGCAGACAAAAACAAAATAACAACAACAACAACAACAAAAAGCATGAAAACAAAAGCAGCAATAAAAAGGCAGAACCAATCATTCGAGCCCACTGACCTTCCAGTAATCCTTGTCCCACGTAGGGAACATGCGAGTAAAGACACGCGGTTCATTGCCTTGGGTAATGCGAATAACGCTCACAGTGTCGATTGTGCGATCGGTAGGCTCCTGCTTGATATATTTCTAAAATTTAAAGGTTAGACGATGAGTGTTAGTAATGTTTGTGAATATAAACAATATATAAAATTTACTCAAAAACGATTTAGCTCACCTTAGCCATTTGTAGAATTTTTGCGTTTTCTTCTACAGAGGCACCTGATCCTACCCACAAGTAAATTTCATCGCCGGCATCCAACAGCATAACATCGTCAACATCAAGATCCTTAATAAAAGCAGAAAACGCATAATTATTCTTCTTGTTTACCAGCAAAAAAACAAAAACATCTCCGAAACTTACCGACTGCTGGAAATCACGAACCTCCTCCACTTGAGTGCGCCAAGCCACTAATCGACAGTGGAATAGACGCGGCTCAAGCAATGGCGCTCCAAAGTTGTTTAAGTTGCGATCGTAACTATGCAGCTCTTCCCAGAATTCAGATGGCTCCGAACCTTCCTCTATGACCACTGTCTTGCCGTGAGGCCAGTAGTGCTCAAAGCGCTCATTGGCAGATGCCTTCTCGAAATCAGAGGCACCCTAGGAAGAGAAAAGAAGCGAAAAGCATTAGTCAAGCCGAAGAAGCTCACGCACACACACACACACACACTTACTTGTCCAATCCAAATGTACACCTTGTGATCCAACGTAACCAATGCAAAGACATCACCGGAAGCCAAAGATGACGCTTTGCAAACCACTTCGCTTGCATGCACATCGGAAGCATCTGTGCCGCGCACACGGAAAAGCTGCGCACTCTTCGGCTCATCGTTGAATGGCGTAATCAGTTTACCCTTGAAAATTTTCAGAAAATGACGCGGCTCATGACTTTGGCCGGTGCGCACCAATATGGCATTCTCCTCCATTGCCATCGCCAAACCATCGTTGAATGAGCGCTCCTTCACAGCATCGCTAGCCTTTGCGCCCTCCCACACGTACACAAGCTTGCCAGCCTCACCACTCCTAGCGCTGTACTTGTATGTGATGATGTAGGCATATTGTCCAATTAGCGGTGTAGTGCCTTCGAAATCAACGATACTGCGCACTACAAAATCATCCGATTCCGAACTAAACTTGATAATATGTTCGATATCTTGCTCGCCATTGTCTGGCATGAAAGCAATTGCATGACCACCGCTCTTCTTCAAATTCTGCAGCACTGAATCGACATCATCAGGCTCTTCGTAATCGGAATCATCGGTGCTATAACCCAATGCAGTGCGCACCAAGTGCTTATGCTGTAAGCCTTGATCACGCCAAGCGGCAAAGTATTGCTTGAACGGCGCCGGTTCACCATCCTCAACAACTCGATGCACCTGCGTCCAAGCTGGGTATGATTTGCTCTCTAAAAAATTCTCCCCCATTTTCATAGCGCTTGTCCTCTCTGTTTGCGTGGAGCCGCGGCCAACCCACACATAAATGCCTGAGCCAGTGTCGAGTATGAAGCTATCATCAGTGCTGAGCATCTCCTGGCGTAGAGGCTTCTCAGATATCTTCTCAATCTCCAAGGAACCGCTAGCATCGGACACTTTGTACAGTGTAACTGCTTGGATATCTGTGGCCTCGAAGGCACCATCTTCCTCATCGGTGGTCTCATCCGGTACTTCGTCGGCTGAGCCGGAACCAAGTTCCGAAAAAAATTGTTCCTTCGCAAAGTCGGATGAGAAGTTATCTGTGGCACAATTTTTAAAATGGTACAATGTGATATTTTATACAAAATAAGAGAAATTATGTGGTGTAGGTAATCCTTTATTAAAAATGGAATCTGAAAATATCAGCCATGATATGATCGAAAAAACCCATAATTCTTTATTGAAAGAATTAAAATCAAAAATGACTAAAAATCATCGAAAAAATTAAACTCCAAAAGTGACTATATTCTTTATCGAAAAAATATCCTGATATGAGGATTAAGAATTATCGAAAAAATAATAATCCGAATTTATCGGTTAAACTTTTTTATTTTTATTATAAACATCGTTACCGTAACAGTGCCTATATATCTATATGTGTATAGTGCATTTATTTTTCATGTTTTTTGTTAATATGAAATTAATTAATTTATAATTATTATCGTATTTAGGGACTTATTTAACTACCGATATTTTATCTATGCAATTTATCGATACTTTTAATGTAATGATAAGCATGCATGTGAATTAAACTTTGTTTTAATATACATACATTTGGATAAAACTATCGATAAATGTATCGATATCGTTAATGTAATCAGTGTAACCATATGGTTATGCCAACAGTAGGCGTTGCACTATTCGAAAATTAAAAAATTAAAAAATAACTGTAAATGGACTGGTTGTATTGAAATTTCATTTTTTTTTTTTGTCGCATAATAACGGCGTGTATGCAAATAAGTGGTCGATTCTTCATAAAGTGTGTTGGAATCAGTGTGAAAGAGTGTTTAAAAGTGCTAAGAAAATCCGACAGAAAAACAATTCTGGGCACACCCGGGTTAAATAGTATCGTTTCACATGTTTTTTATGGGTAGATATATTTATCGGTATCATAATTGTTAGGCCCATCGATAGATTTGTCGATATGACTACAGCTTATTTTATTTCCGGTTCTCAAATAACGCAGTCATATTAAAATGCTTTGCTGCCCTTAGATGTGGATAAAAATATCGATGAATTTATCTAAAGCGTTATTAGTATCGATATTTTTTCGATTTTTCAATGTTTTCTAGAAGATCTTAAGAGCATATTTGCCAATATTACCGGCGTTTCACATCTTTTTAGTGGAAAATATTTTGATCGATATCAAAATTATCGCTATTACTATGGAATCTGAAATGCTTTCCGATGGCACTTACACCGCCATCTCATTGTCTCATTAATATTCCTCATCTTATCGATTAATTACGAGTACTTATACCTAGGTAAATACTTGTATATATATCACAAATACTCACCAATAATGTTCACTTTCGCACGGCCATGATGGTCCTGATCACGTATTTCATTTGCGGCGTAAATAGCCTTTAGTCGCTCCAAACGCTTAGCATTCTCACCCACATACACCAGAATCTCTTCGCCCGCATCCAAAATGAAACAATCGCCGCGGTTCATCGACGTTATTGACAGAGCAACTTGGCGTACCCGCACATTGCGTTTGCCCTTCACTTGGAACAGGCGCTTTTCGCCAGTAGCATTCACATCGACATGCTCGAAGCCGGTAGCGACGCCGCCCTTCTCGTAACGCACGCCTGCATGGATGCAAATTAATTAGACATGTCAATGAACCTTACATACCTTGGCAAGTCAGCTTGCCAGCTTGCCAGCTCACTTTCCCACTCGCAAATATGTACATACATACTACACCAAACCAAAGAACTGATGGTATGTACAAGATGTACGAGTCAAGCATTGGCTGAAGGAAGGCAACGAAGGTGAATGGTGAAAAGTGCAATTCCATGGAGTTTTTAGTGCAATGCAATTTATATTTGCATTGCGTCGATGGCAGACCTGCCATTAACATGCGAGGCTACCGGTCACCTGCCAACTGCCAACTACCAATTGCACGCCGCTCCACCAGCCACCAACCGCAGCTCCCCACTCAACAAAGATTGCCGGAAAAGTACATTGCGCCTCATTTGGTCGCGTAAAACTTTTTAATGCGTCATTTTCACCAAAGGAAACTTACCATTTTTAAAGTAGCTCAGGAACAATTGTGATTCATGATCTTGAACTTCGCGATGTTGCACTGGTGCACCATCCAGTTGGTCGTCCAGTTGTACGGTGTAAATAGCCGCAGCGCCAGCTTCGTCGGTGGTCGTTTCAGCGCCTAACCAAAAGTGTATGTCCCACGAAAGTTTTTGGCTATGTGGATCTTCGGTAGTCTAAAGTGCGGCAGGTGTAAAGAAAAATTCACAAATGAGTTGCAGAAAAACAAGTATGTAGATATGCTACAGTGCGTTTGTGTGTAATCGGCGATGGTAAATGCAAGAAAAATGGCATAAGCAATGAATTGCCTGAGTAGTGGAAGTACTTTGCTGGTGGTTCAAAGGCAAATTTACACAGAATAAGTGAAAAGTTTTTCTATTTTAAAGCGAAAAACTGTGTTTCAGCGCGGTGAAGGGGCTGGCGTAGAAACTTCAAATACTTTTATAATATTTCATGAATTTTCTACATGTTGGCAATGCATTTGGTCTCCCAGGTGCAAAGTACCAAAAGCGTACAGAATGAGTTTCGGGAGCAACAGTTCCTACATTACTACTAATGAGCAAAGAAATACTGGCAATTGGAAAAGAAATTGCACACACTTGCATTAGCGATGGGGAAAAATGTGAAAAGATTTTTAAAGTTTACCTATTTAGGAGCATAAATATTTCGAAGAAAAGTTAGTAATAGTGATGGAAGCTAACAGTATTTTGTTGATAATGGTTTTGCAAGAAGAGCATTAAAATCTTAAGATTTATCGAGTGTGGTTTGTGATATAGGTGGGGAAATTCTGTACAGAAAAACAAAAAGGGTAACTGAGCTCTCCGTAGCTATTATATCTGAAATTCTCTAATTTTGCGATACTTTTAAGANTTTGTGTTGATAATGGTTTTGCAAGAAGAGCATTAAAATCTTAAGATTTATCGAGTGTGGTTTGTATTTAATATAGGTGGGGAAATTCTGTACAGAAAAACAAAAAGGGTAACTCCGTAGCTATTATATCTGAAATTCTCTAATTTTGCGATACTTTTAAGACAGCGATTACAGTTTTTAGCAGGGATGGTAATCATTATGAGTAAAATAATTTAAATTAGAATTTAATCATTATTTTATGATTTTTATTTTTTACTGCTTAAAAATAATAATTATTATTGAGTTTGGTTTTTTCGCCCAACGGAAATAATTGTTATTTGATTTTTAGTTTTTCGATCACAAATATTGATTATTTTATGATTTTTTTCGCTCAGAGATAATAATTTTTATTGAGTTTTATGTTTCCACTTATTTCTTTTANCAATTGGAGTAAATGCAAGTAGGGAGCAACAGTTCCTACATTGCTACTAATGAGTAAAGAAATACTGGCAATTGGAAAAGAAATTGCACACACTTGCATTAGCGATGGGGAAAAATGTGAAAAGATTTTTAAAGTTTACCTATTTAGGAGCATAAATATTTCGAAGAAAAGTTAGTAATAGTGATGGAAGCTAACAGTATTTTGTTGATAATGGTTTTGCAAGAAGAGCATTAAAATCTTAAGATTTATCGAGTGTGGTTTGTGATATAGGTGGGGAAATTCTGTACAGAAAAACAAAAAGGGTAACTGAGCTCTCCGTAGCTATTATATCTGAAATTCTCTAATTTTGCGATACTTTTAAGACAGCGATTACAGTTTTTAGCAGGGATGGTAATCATTATGAGTAAAATAATTTAAATTAGAATTTAATCATTATTTTATGATTTTTATTTTTTACTGCTTAAAAATAATAATTATTATTGAGTTTGGTTTTTTCGCCCAACGGAAATAATTGTTATTTGATTTTTAGTTTTTCGATCACAAATATTGATTATTTTATGATTTTTTTCGCTCAGAGATAATAATTTTTATTGAGTTTTATGTTTCCACTTATTTCTTTTACTAGGGTGTCGCTAGCTCTGAAAAGGATAAAATAAAAATCATGTAATAATAACTTCTTTTGAGCGAAAAATAAAACTCAAACCCAAAAAATAAAAATCATTATAAATTACAGTAGGACATGAGTTTAGTGAAAATTGTTTTACGACGATTATTTACCACTTGTTGATTTTTTGGTTAAAATTTTAAAAATCATGATTATTTTCCGTCCCTGGTTTTTAGCGTTGTGCAGGTCTTATGATCCACATTTTCTAACAGATCCCACCTTTCGATCAATGTTCGATGGAATACATTAATGTTTTNCATTTCTTAGCTCCCTAGATTCAGTTTAAATGGATGTCATCATTTAAAATTTCTTGCTTAACATTTTGGGAGAACATCAGCCCTTTTTAACCGCCACACATCGAACTTCTTCAAATTAGTGTAAAAAAAATGCATTATAGTTAGAATTAAAGCGTTAACATGTTTCACAAAAAATGTCTGCTAAAATCTTAGTATAAGGGGCCTTTTATAACATGAATTTCTTGCATGTTTAGAATTAATTTATAGTACATAAAACTACACGATACAGGACATTTGAATTTGAGACCAAAACGTGGAAAACTTAACCCATTGTAAAAACACATATGGTTTGATCATACTATCACATGTATATAAAAAAAACACTCATATCTAATCAACTAATGGTATTGGAGATATATGTATTTTAAAAAGCATCGATTTGAATGATTTTCACAGTAGGCATTGATATTGTAGGATCGATAAGTAAGCAGGCCATACATGCCTACATAAGGGAGTTGTATTTCAAAAACTTATACCTGAACCATCAATTGTATGGGAGACATACAGAGCATATATCTTGACGATTTTCTCACAAGACCTTTTGGGGTTTATTAGTAAATAAATACATCATAACATCATTTTAGTTGTCTAAGGGCCGCTTTCTCAAGTAGCTTTTAAAATTCATATGTTCTCAAAAAATGTATTTAAAGGGCAGATAAGTATTAAAAGACACTTGAGAAATGGCCCTAAATGAAGGAGTTATCACGTAAAATCTTGTAACTGAACAACCAGTTGTATGGGGGATATGCGTGTGATATAGTGATGCGATTTTGCTAGGTTTGACAAAGGATTAATACATTATAAAAAAGCTATTCGCTTCCCAAATTTTAGTCGGATATCTCAAGAACTGAGCGACAAGACTGCGCTCAAACAGACAGACATATAGACGGACTTGGCCTAATCGATGGGTCTGTCTCTTCTTGTATATTTACATGCCTACCTGGATCTATCTCTTTTTCGTTGATGCTTGCAGACATCGGACCAAAGCTATAATACCATTAAACGTAAACGAAGAAATTATATAGTTTCTGTACGGTACCAGACAGGTTCAAAATTTTGTCGAAGGACTGCTTCTGCAAATATTTTTTTTGAAAGCCTTCACCCAAACCATCGACTAACAATTAGCGATAGAGCAGTGAATAAATGAAATTACTGATGAGTACTTAAATTCTTTATAGAGAGACTTCAAATTCCAATACGATCACAAATGTATGATCACTACCGGAGCTGCCAAGATAAACTCAGGCCTCAACACTTGTTGATTTGTTATGGTCAATTGTTGCAGTAAACTTCTTTTTCGTAACGCCGATTATACTATCGATTATAACGTAAAACGTGTATCGCTGAAATTTTAATTTTCTGGCTAATGGTATCATTTTCTCTGTATTTTCCAAGTATCCGTAACAATTTTGCATTTATCTCAAATATGGCATTCCATTGATCGCGTAATCAATTTGATCGCCTTATCATCGCTAAAGAATCGCAGACAAACTTGCTTTTAGTGTGGTCACTACGGAGACTAAGCGTAAAGGGAAGAAAGTACAGCTCATCTGGACGTTTTGAAAGGCAAGTCAAAGTAAAGAATATGAGGAAAAAAATTATACAAAAGTGTTGTGTAATAATCATTTTTCAAGAGGATAAGAATGTCTTACGAAATTTAAGTCTATCCTAATGTGCAAAATTAAAATGTATTTTTTTTTTTTTTGTAGATGAGACGAGCCTATTAGTACACAAAGTAAATGTTTTTTTTTATTTAGTGCTCACTTTAAAGGCCGCTATTCATATAACTTTTTAAATTACACATTTTCACTATTAAAAGAAATTTTTAAAACTTATGCAAAACGAACAGACAAACAACTTAAAGGGATTATTATTTTTTTGTTAAAACATTATGCAAACTAACCCATACATTCAATAATGTATAGGCAGTACGTATGTAGATAAGTATGCATTTTAGCTTATATCTATGTATATGTGTTTTACATTTCTACGAAAAAACAGGCATACATAACATGCACATACATACATATGCATGTACATACACACACATACAAATTGTAAATGCCAGTCGACTTATTAAAGCAATTTAAAAGCATTCGCTCATCCTAGCACTGCTCACGGCAAAAAAAAAACAAAAAAAAACAACTCAATCAACAGGGCTACATATCAATAACACAAAAAACACAAAATCACACCGTTAAAGACATAAAACTGTTGTGTGCAAATATATTTTGCATAAACAGCTTTTAATGTGTTTACATAAGCGTTTTTCTCCACACTCGCACTAAATAAAACCTTCAATGTAATAAAAATTAAATTGAATTTAAAATTAAATTGGTTGTGACGTGATTTAATGCAAGTAAATGGTGAATGTTGAAAAACTAAAATTGAATTTGATATACATATCTAAATACTACTTTAAATACACGTGTGTGTGTGTATGCGCTTCAAACAATTATGAAATAAAAAACGATAATGAATTATATGAAGCATTAATTTCTGAACGTGCCCATGTTTTGGGTATAATAGAGTATTTTAAATACATTTTAGTAATGATTGAGAGATTATTAATAATTGCATAAAAACTAGGTATGTACGAGTAAGTGAGAAATTGCATAATGTGGACCAATTTCAAATTTCGCTCTACTTATTCCAAACAATTTTATTTCACACATACTGGATGGCTTGTTTGTTTGTTTTTTTTTTTTTTTTAAGTTCACTCAATCGCATGAGGCGAGCCGCAGTGTTTCTTTAATTAAAACGTTTATTAAAAATAAACAATTTTCACTATGGACTATGGGAACTATGGAACCCTCAATTTCTTTGACACACCAAAAATATTTAGTGGGTGGAAAAGAACGCCCAAATACGCGAAGCGTCACATTTAAATATTTCCTATTTCCTTTTTAATAAAAAAATGT